TCACCAGCAGCTCTGCTTGCTGTCACCCAGGAAGCTTGTCGCCACACGCCAACAACTTCAAGGCCACTTTACAAACAGAGAGCACCAGAGGGAGGCATGATGCTACAGTTTAGCCTCAAATAACAAATCTGATTTAAATTGTTCGACTTTGAGTTTTTTTGTTTTGTTTTTGTACAGTGTGGAGGGGAACTTAATTTAGTTTTGTTACAGTAATGTCCCAGGAATCCATGAGAACGTTAAAGTTGTTCATTTTATTTATAGTTATAAAAGTCACTAAAAGTAAGAAGAGTTACTGTAATCCTCAAAATGATTTTTGTGTGGTAGCAAGTTGTCAGGGTATCACAACTTGTTTTCAAGCACTTTTGTGTCCAGGTGTACAGAGACTGAAAAGGATGTGATGAAAAGAAAACCGTCACAGTGTCAGTGTGCAATGTTTTCTGAGATTGAAGAAGATATATATTACATCTGGAATATCTGGAATTACTTATTGCAGAAGGGGATCGCTATTGTTTCACACTTGCATCTATTTCTTTAATTGCTATGACACAGACACTGTTATAAGACCTCAGCTTTCAGTGACCTCCAGCCCTCTGCATTGCTTAATGTTGGTGGTGTGGGCAGGGAATGGTGTGAGCAGTACAAAAGGAAGCAAAAGTGCAGCAACACAGCCTTGATTTCCCCCTTTCCCTTCTTCTCCAGTGATCGTACATCAAGCGCTTCATTCATTCAATCTGCCGTCCTTCAGCATAATTAACAATATGCCAAATTCGATTTCAGGGCAGTACTACTTCATTTTTCTTTTATCTTGTCACACTCGATTCTACGTTGACTTGTCGTCCTGTCTTTGGGTACAAAGTTACTTTACATTACAAATTATTTGTAATATTTGTATATAGTAATATTAATGAGCCTGACTGTTTTTTGGAGATGGTAAACTAAGCATCCCTACACTTGCTTAACTCCTTAGCCAAAAAACATAATTTCTTCAAGGTACTGGGTCTACCCTGACTTACTTTTTCAGTGACTACCCACATCTTGTGGCTATAGATGATGATAGGAACGTGGTCATGTATTAACCTCTTCAGATTAGAGAGTCAGTTTTAAAAGTACCGAGTGTGTCAGAATCGGATTTTATTAAAGCGGTGCTTAGCACTGTTTCCTCACAGCAAGAGGGCCCTGGGCTCAAGTATAGTCTGGGGTCTTTTTCGGTTTAGGTTCCATGTCTGTGTTCCACATGTCTGGGGGTTCTTTCCTGGTACTCTGGCTTTCTCCCACATTCTTAGCAACACACATGGCGTTTGGTTAATTGGTGATTCTATATCTACTGTAGGTGTGAATAGTTGTCTGTCTTTATGTGTGAGTACTGTGAAAGTTTAAAGCCTGTCCAGGGTGTACCCCTCCTCTTGCCCCATGACAGCTGGGATAAGCCTCGCCCTCCCCCACAACCCTGAACTGGATGAGCAGAAGAAAACAGACAGATGGATTTTGCTGTAAGAGTTTTGTAAGTGGATTCTTTTTTGTTTGCCACATTGAAATTCCTTCTGCTGCAACAGCTGAATTAGTCTGACTGCAGCTGGCATCCACTGTGAAGTCACACGCTTTACTGGATTTATCTTTTTTTTGTAAAACAAGAGAATAATGAAGAAAACTGGATCAACACCAACAGCTTTGACTCCACAAAGACCGTATGCAGTCACTGTCATCCCCCTGATATGCTCTTTTGGGCCTCCCTAAGTTGACGTTTTGTATTTTCTGATGTTTCATACATTACTTATTTAGACAGGCAGGCTCTGGGGTGGAGGAGTCAGGCTATGCATGTTAACAGCACAAATCCAGAGATTCATGTGGGCGTCAAATCGACTGACTAATGGTTCCGCTGCACTAAGTCAGTTTCTCCTATCAAAATACTCGTGCAGCTTTTGAACTGTTAGCTGTCCACGAACTCATAGCACACAAACATTAGAGGTACATGACTGCATGAGCTAGTTATTAAAAAGCTGTATTAAGACGGGACAATAGAGGCTACGTGATCACTCATTTCCAACTTAAAGAACCAAGCCAGTGCCGACTGCACAAAAGCAGAAGTTATGTGATATGTATTTAAGGTTTGAATTTTGCATTGTAAGCAAGTAGATAATCCAGACCACACTTTGTGGTGCACGTGTTTATTTCTGCACAAAGCTGGCCGGCTAAGCTGTAATCACTGTTAGTGAAAGGGATATCTTGATACTATTATTCCTCTTCATTGTTCCCATATGTCTTCTTCAGCATTTACCTGACAGCCTACTTTTAAAAGGGTTTCCAGCAGCACGTACGTACAGGATTCCCTCGTAGCCCTGAGAATATGACCACAATTATATTGCTCATTTTTGTTTAGTATGCAAATTTGCTCCCTCAAACACTGTCCTTATTTACCCTGATGTTCAAAAAGTTTCTCTCTCTCTCTACTCCAAAATTTGCAGCTTCCTTGACTGCCTCAGGAGAAAAAGGGAGAGGTTAAATTGGCAATGCGTTTTAGGCCACGTTACTTCCACTGAGTCATTCCCTGGATGTCCTTAAGGGCTATATAGACCAGATTTAGGTTCAGCTGAGTCCTGTATCGATTTCAGTCTCAGCCTGCATAATGGAAGAGATGACTCTGAATGCTTTTGTGCCTTTCAAGGAATCCAGCACAATTTTTCTTTATTACTATTTTTTTTAATCACATGTGGGAATTGAACTTCACAGTCCAGTGCATTGCACTGAGGCTTCTCCTTCAAAGTAAAATGGGCAAACTGGGGCACTCGTCATAGGGCAGTTAAAGGCTTTTGCAGGGAAGTCGGCTTTGACTGGGTTTTGTTTTTATTTGTTTATGTTGCTTACCTTTATGGCCAGATGTTTCTGGTTGTCTGTGGTGTTTCCCATCAGTCGTAGCAGACCGTGAGTCAGTATGACCTACTGCTTAACACCGAACTCTCAGGAGGCAGATATGTTCTCATTCATTCAGGAAAGATTCAGACAAAGTCCACTGAGCATATACTCTTCCCGTGGTGCTGTTCCATTACAGCAGGGATTTGGGTACTTATAAGTGAGGTAATTGGTGTAAATTAAGTAAAGCATTGCACTCAATTAGGCTCACATAAATATTGGACTGCTTTTGCTGTTGACTTCATTCAACAAACACTGTTGGTGGTGACCTGACATGCAAGTTATTGGCTTCAAAAATTTCAAGAAAATCTCCTGCTAACGGACTCTGAAAAAACACCTAGTGCAAACTTCCATTATTTCTGTGAGTTTTAAGCATGGCTGCTATTTATAGAGCCCTACCTGGAAGCCTTGTTCTGACCACTTGCATGTAAACTGTGCAATTTCAGGAGTTCAGGAAGAAAATATTGACTTTGTGTCAAACTTACCAGAGCTTCATTTCGTGAGTCATTTTGTAATGAGTTACAAACGAAACACGTAATACATAGCACTTCAAGCGTGGAGGAAGAACATCATTTTCTTTCTTTCTTTCTTTTTTTGGATAGGGCTGAGATTCTGTGAATTCGTCACTCAAAGTCAGATTTTTACCGTAATGTTAACTGTAATGCCCCGAGGGAGCGTGTCCTTTAAAAACCATGTGAAATGTGGTGTGCGCCTTTGTGCCATTGTGCTTCAGCAGACCGAGGAGGCAGGAGTGGGTTTTTTTTGTGACATCTAGACAATCTTTTTATGCCACCACCTTTACTGCCCAGATTGGGCTCTCTGTGACTTTGTCCTCTTCCCCCAAAATGAAATTCAAGTTGGCAGTGGGGTCACGCTTTTGCAAAGGAAATGAGACCACAAGTGTTCATATTATCTAAAAATGGCCTTGAAAGAGGTAAAGTTTTTGATTTTTATGATTGTGGAAACTTTGAGATGACTGATGTGGACAGGAAGCATAAGGGGTGACTCACTGTTGTTAAGATGATTTGACAAATCTCTCTATTTTTTGAGCCACCATCACTGCTTCAGCATGACTAGAACATGCGTGGGCATACTCAGGTCTACAGGTACAAATGCTATTTGTTTGCACTTATTAAAAAAATAAATACAAGCTATTTATATTGACTTCCCGATAGGGGATGATTCACCTTTCAGTTCGTCTCTGAAGTCATTTCAACTTTCAATAGCAATTCTTTTTTTTTACAAACTATTTGAAGTTCAATGCAATAAATGTGGGGCTAATTAACTATATCCGAGGAAGACTCTTAAATGAATAACTAGTTGTACTCAGTGACACATGCAATTTTGTATATATTTACATTTTTATATTAAGCTTAAAGTAATTAAAATGATTTACATTTTAAACATCTGGAAGCTCGTTTTGGCTGCTCACTTATTTGCATGGTGTTGCCAAATGAGATGATCTGAGTATTTGAGACTGAAGAGGATGGATGATATGTTATAATATAACTCTTAAAAAGTCAATTCTGCTTCTCTAAAAGGGTACTTTCGTTACTTTCAGTAGTATTGTAACTGTAAAAAATGCTGGAATTAAAGGAGCAGAGCCTGCTATGTTCTGGGAAAAATGCTTGTTCTTACATTTCCCACAATCCAAAGTCAGTAATTCTCAATAATTTCATTAAATGCTTTATTTCCTAGTAAAAGTCCTTGATGACCTTGATGTCATCGTAATGTCATCAGGATTTTTTAAAGCTCCCTCCAGAACCAATGAGGACACTATTCAGCTGATTTTACAGGCTGATTTGGTTTCCGCTTAATTTTTTTTTTATTGCTCTGATTATGCCTGAAAATAAGTACGGTCTTAATATTTTTACCCAAGTGACACAACCGAATTCTTTTTCAGCCACTTCTCCAAACCCAGAGTTGAGCCCTGGTCTTTCATTATAACAGCTGCGCATCTAGCAGCCATCAGAAACCATGCTGAAAAAGTGGAAGTCCATGTGTTTGTGTGGTCACAAAGGACAAGAAGAGAAAAAAAAATCTTGGCACGCCATATCGCCTGTTCATTAATATTTTGTGCGTTTCTGTGGTAGGTGGCTGCCAGAGCCGGAGTTTATGACATCCTCAACCAGCTGGGCTTCTCTGAGTTTGAAAACCCGAGGGACACGCCACTGGCCAGGCTGCGCTGCCGCTGGCAACAGCAAAACATTCTGTCACTTCCTTTCCGCGGGGAGTTCATCTGAGAGGGGATCACTGTGAATACGCCAAAACAGTACTGTGCTTTTCAGAATAAAAGACATTTCCAATAACATAGTTATGCCTTCTGTATTTACCCTTATTTTCTGTATATCTTCACAACACCTGTTGTTTAATGTTACTGCTTTTTTCCTTTTTTTCTCACTTGTGATGTTAACAGTTTTTAGCTTTAAATCTCAGCAAGATTCTGCTTCTGTATTGGAAGTTGTGCCTTTACATCAGTGAATTTATTAATGTACTAATTTGTACATGTTTAGGTTATTTTTTTCTTAAAATCCCAGTAAAATTATGCTCACTTGCGACAGCTCTTTGAAACTTCAGCCGGAACTAGAGTTACAGTAAATGTTGTTATGGAGGAGGAGATCAGAAAATTCCAACAATTTATGTCACTGTGCATCTGTTCCACTTTTTCAGAAGAGTCCCTATGTACATATGGAAGCTGTCAGTATTTAAATAACTGTGCTGTTGAGTTTTCCAAACGTTATTTGATAAGAGGATTTTGAGCGTTGCAAAGATGCTAAAATATGACAGCACTTATATGTTCCTCTGTTGTACCTGATTTTTGTTTTTGTTTTTTTACGTTTGATTATATCTGTCATGATACAGGTACTAACATTTTTATGTGTTACATTTGACTCTGAAGCGCTCTGTGTTTTTTTTTGTTTTTAAACTTTGTTTAAAGCTATAAAATTACTTCTGTCATGTGATGTGATTCTGCATTCTTCCTTCTTGTCAAAACATGGTCCACATACATATTACCAATAATGCAAATTCGCCTTCCTACACAGCCTCAAGCTGCTCACCTGCAGCTTGATGCAATAGAAGTCCGCAAAGCTTTAAAGCACCTTTGATGTGTACATTTGGAGGCGTTACTTTTATACCACCTTGGCTTGGGGAGCTTAAATTTATGGATGGAAACAGCATCTGCAGATATTTGGTGTGACTTGGATTTTTTTTTTTTTTAAATACACTTAGTGTTTATTGATGTGGATAAATACACCGTTCCATAACTGCAGCTGATGTTCATTTCTTCAGTGGAAGGAAACAGCTGCATGATTCACTGTTTAGAACAAGAGTTTAAAGTTGCATTGTCTTTCAAACATTTACATCATTGTTTTCTCTGAATGCATGACAACACCAGATCTGTAGAGTAACTTTAACCCTGCAGGATTTCTTTAAAGTCTTGACATGTTCTTTGTTTGAGCATGTTACCACTATATTATGAATCCTGCCTTAAAACCAGAAAGATAAGCAAAAATCAAAGGATCAAAAATTATCAATCGTTCCTCCAGATACCTGTCATTCTTGTTTGTTTCATTGTGGCATTGCATAATGAAAGTGCACCCTTCAAGTTATCAAAAACATTGCAGTGATTGAAAATGGGAAGAAATTTAAAATACACAGTTTGTGTTGGAACATCTAATACCCATCTTTGTGATTCTTGATTAAACACACAAATGTGGAGGTTGTATACTAAGAGATCCTGATATCTTAGCTAGGCTTTTAATTTAATTGTTTTTTTTTTCTTTTTTAACAGGCGCTCTTCACAGAGTAAATGTCTTTTATTTGCTGTATTTACCAATTATTTTCTTGTTTGGAAGCTAAAATAAATATTTCAGATAGATCTAACAGAGTTTCTGCTTTTGATATCTTTTTTTTTTTACGTGGAGAAACCTAAAACTTATCCATCTGCACCAAGGATTCGGATTTTTGTGTGTAGGAGGGTTTTATGATTTTATTTTGCACACTACTGTCCTCTGTGCCTTGTTTTATTGAAGCTTCTGAAGTCTCCTGCGATGGAGCCAAATGATTGTCTTCCCTCCTCGGTTTCCTTTCTTTTTTCCGCCTTATCTCAGCATCATCTTTTGCTGCAGATATGCACCGCTGAGAACCCTCTCGTATATCCGCGAGGCCTCTTTGTTTTGTGTCGGTGCCAACCTCGGAGAGCAGGACAGGTTATGAGCATCGAGCAGCGTGCATTTACCCAAAACAGATGATTCATTGTTGGGCTGAAATCTTAACATATTCCATACACAGTAATAAAGAGCTTAGGCAGATCAAAAGACTAATCTGAGTTGCGTTTTGATGTGGACAGGTAAGGTCTTAATTAAAAAAATATGGTCAGTCTTTCAACAATGGAGGCCTGTGTGAGGATTAAAAGCCACCAGCCGGCACATCAGTGAAGCACACTTGGCTTCGCTGGCCTGCTTTGAAAGTCTGATATCCCAGATCACTTCCCGTCTTGTAAGTGCATAGCAGGCTTATCTTCGGGACTACGGAAGTTGTTAGGACTTTATCACACCACAGCCTATCCTGAATTATTGTAAATGGAAACAAAGTGAGCCAGATTGAAAGGCTTCCTGTAGAGTTTGAGACTTTATGAGCTAATTCATCCCTCTTAGTGAGAGGGTTGGCAGGCCCTGAGGCACAGATAAATTCACCATAACACTTATTGTACACTTACTCTTTACCAATGGAGAAAAATTGGCAGATATGGAGAAGGTCTATTCAGTTGCAGCATGTGGCCAACTGGACTCCAGGTCAAGATAAGCCCAGGACATGAGGACCATGCTTGGATGATATAGCGGCCCCTCGCCTTTGAAATTCTTTCCAAACTCATTGAGATACTCCCCAATGTGAAACTCAAGCTAGTGGTTCAGAAGGATCCAGAAATTGCAGCAGACAAAGAGTGGCATTCAGAGGTGAGCAGCAAGAGGGGATGTAATGAACTTCATGTGAAAAGCTTCCCCCTGCAGATGAGAGAGCTGCTGAGGACAGGAGGCATCATGCCGGTGTAAGGGGTTCATGGGTGCATTGCCATCCTCTTTGATTGTTCTTGTGTGTATAAAGGCCGCCTTAAAAAACACCTCGGGAACTCAAGTCTCAAACCTCTCAGGGATTTGATCAATATTAATAAGATTGTTAAGACCTTGCTCTTAAATCTTCTCTGGCAAATACGTGTCTGAGCCTTCATTTACCGTGAGCAATAATACACAATCCCTGTTAGGTTATTACACACACTACTGATCCAGGTAAAGTATCAACTGGCATGATAAAAAGTACTGATTGGATTGATAGTGAGCTTTTAAATGCTTATTCCTATTCCCATTTGATCTTTTGGGATACATCCCCATGACTAAGGCTTTCTTATTTAGAGGTAGGGGTTCAAAGCATGGGTGATTTGTTGAATTGTTGAATGAGTTTAAGAAGACTACATGGAAATAAAAGTAATATAGTGGAGCCACTGGTAACACTCGTTATAGTAAAAGTCTCCATTAGGTTGCAGGGCATTCAGACGTAACCAAGACGACCTGCTGAAGTTCAAACTGAGCATCAGAAAAGGGAAGAAAGGTTATTTAAGTGACTTTGAGCATGGTATGGTTATTGGTGTCAGACAGGCTTGTGTGAATCTACTGGGATTTCCCACACAGCCAGCGTTTACAGAGAATTGTCTGGAAAGGAGAAAATAGCAAACGAGCATCGTTTTTTTGGGGTGAAATGCTTTATTGATGCTAGAGATCAGAGGGGAATGGTCAGACTGCTTCTAGCTAATAGTAAGACAACAAGTACCCCTGAATGAGGCATGTAGAAGATCGTCTCTGAATGCATGTTGAACCCTGTAGTAGATGGGCTACAAGAGCAGAAGACCATACTCGGCACTACTTCTGTCAGCTAGGAACAGGAAACTACGTTAAGGCTACAATTTGCACCAGCTCTCCAAAAGTGGACAATAGACATTTCGAACGTTTTACCAGGTTGGATGAGCCTCCGTTTCTGCTGTAAAATCCAGATGGTAGACTCAGAATATAGCGTTAATAAAATGAACGTTTGGATCCATCCTGCCTTGAATCAATAGTTGAGGCTACTGCTAGCAGTGCGATGCTGTGTGGGGATATTTTACAGTGCAAAAGTATTCGGCCCCCTTGAACTTTTCCACATTTTGTCACATTACAGCCGCAAACATAAATCAATTTTGGAATTCCACATGAAAGACCAATACAAAGTGGTGTACACGTGAGAAGTGGAACGAAAATCATACATGATTCCAAACATTTTTTACAAATAAATAACTGCAAAGTGGGGTGTGCGTAATTATTCAGCCCCCTTTGGTCTGAGTGCAGTCAGTTGCCCATAAACATTGCCTGATGAGTGCTAATGACTAAATAGAGTGCACCTGTGTGTAATCTAATGTCAGTAAAAAACAGCAGCTCTGTGACGGCCTCAGAGGTTGTCTAAGAGAATATTGGGAGCAACAACACCATGAAGTCCAAAGAACACACCAGACAGGTCAGGGATAAAGTTATTGAGAAATTTAAAGCAGGCTTAGGCTACGAAAAGATTTCCCAAGCCTTGAACATCCCACGGAGCACTGTTCAAGTGATCATTCAGAAATGGAAGGAGTATGGCACAACTGTAAACCTACCAAGACAAGGCCGTCCACCTAAACTCACAGGCCGAACATGGAGAGCGCTGATCAGAAATGCAGCCAAGAGGCCCATGGTGACTCTGGACGAGCTGCAGAGATCTACAGCTCAGGTGGGGGAATCTGTCCATAGGACAACTATTAGTCGTGCACTGCATAAAGTTGGCCTTTATGGAAGAGAGGCAAGAAGAAAGCCATTGTTAACAGAAAACCATAAGAAGTCCTGTTTGCAGTTTGCCACAAGCCATGTGGGGAACACAGCAAACATGTGGAAGAAGGTGCTCTGGTCAGATGAGACCAAAATGGAACTTTTTGGCCAAAATGCAAAACGGTATGTGTGGCAGGAAACTAACACTGCACATCACTCTGAACACACCATCCCCACTGTCAAATATGGTGGTGGCAGCATCATGCTCTGGGGGTGCTTCTCTTCAGCAGGGACAGGGAAGCTGGTCAGAGTTGATGGGAAGACGGATGGAGCCAAATACAGGAAGAAAATCTCTTGGAGTCTGCAAAAGACTTGAGACTGGGGCGGAGCTTCACCTTCCAGCAGGACAACGACCCTAAACATAAAGCCAGGGCAACAATGGAATGGTTTAAAACAAAACATATCCATGTGTTAGAATGGCCCAGTCAAAGTCCAGATCTAAATCCAATCAAGAATCTGTGGCAAGATCACAAACGCTGTCCATCTAATCTGACTGAGCTGGAGCTGTTTTGCAAAGAAGAATGGGCAAGAATTTCAGTCTCTAGATGTGCAAAGCTGGTAGAGACATAGCCTAAAAGACTGGCAGCTGTAATTGCAGCAAAAGGTGGTTCTACAAAGTATTGACTCAGGGGGCTGAATAATTACGCACACCCCACTTTGCAGTTATTTATTTGTAAAAAATGTTTGGAATCATGTATGATTTTCATTCCACTTCTCACATGTACACCACTTTGTATTGGTCTGTCATGTGGAATTCCAATAAAATTGATTCATGTTTGTGGCTGTAATGTGACAAAATGTGGAAAAGTTCAAGGGGGCCGAATACTTTTGCAAGCCAGTGTATATGAGGCACTGTGGTGTGAATAAGGCACGGCGGGACCACAGATCTGCATTTTGAGCCATCTTTATTCATTCTACATGCATCACACCACAACAACACTCTCAACCCTGCTTCCCCGTGATTTACCACCGCGGGCGGGATCTGCAGATGCCATGCAGGTGCGTCCGCACGGCACAACAGACCACGCCCCACCACAGACACTTTAAAACTGAAGATCAATCCCATTACCCACCTTAGCATTGTTGCTGACCATGTCTGTCCCTTTATATCAAGTGTTCTGATGGCTGCTTTCAGCAGGATAACACATGTAAAGCTCAAAACATTTAATAATAAAACAAATAGCCAATTAGTTTCAAGATCTGAATCTAATAGAGCACCTTTGGTATGTGGTACTATGGCAGATTTGCATCATCAATGTACACCTGGCAAATTTGCAGGAACTGTGTAGAGGAATATTTCCACTAAACTGTTGAATCTACGAAGACTTAAATGAGGTCTGAAAGCAAAAGGGAATCCAATCGATACTAGCAAAATGTACCTAACAAAGTGGGTGGCAAGTGTATTTATACTGCATAGTAATCAGTCAAACTACATTGCAAAGTTAGACCTTTATTTCAAACAATACCTGAATGTTAACTTAACAATGTGTATTTAATTTATACAAAGCTTGATTAGCTGATTCAAAGCTGAAACAGAATGCTCTATTTGTTGTGATGCCAAGGAACACAAACAGCGCTGCAGTCATAACTCATCCCATGTGTCATTGTATTTTTGTCCTCTGTTTTAGGCTCAGCTGTGCAACATCAGTCAAATAAGCTTAAGCTGTTAAGCCAGTGAGTTAAAACTATGTTGGCACTTCGGGTGAACAAATAGAAGTTCACATAGCACCAGATTTAGCAGCTATTCTTCCAAGCTGTCTTCAGTTTAGTGATATGTTGTGTATGTTGGAGCATAATTCAAATGTTTGGCAACCTTTAAATATTGTATAAGCTAGTGATTCAATACAGTGAACTTTACATTCAATCACAGAATTTCATTCAATCTTTCTATAGT